GTGGTGATGGGTTGTAATTAGTATTTGGGTGGTGAACATGATGTAATCTATGCAGAAATAGGAGTATAATGATGTACACCTGAAATTTATACAATATCATAAACCAATGTTACTGCATTAAACAAAAAATTAAAAAAAAAAAAAGAAACAATCATACTTGAAAAATAACAAATAATGTAAAAAAATAAGTAAATAAATAAACTGCGTTATAATCAGGTTGCATTATCTGGAGGAAGAAATAGAAGCCCGTAGGCTTTTATTATTTTAGAGACAATGTGACATCTAAAAGAAAGGTCTTCTTATAAACTGACATTTTTTAGGAAGCCTGATAGCCCCTACAGGATTCAAAGCAGGGCATTTTCCTTCTTTTTGAGTATTATGATTTGCAACCAAAGTTCTGGTTGTTTTCAAGTTACCCCATCCTAACAGGTAACTCTAGAAATGCTATGGAAAGTAATGTTTTTTGTGTGTGTGAATGGTATGTTATTTATACTTAATTTCTCATGTAATTATTATTTATGCACATCATAAAATATAAGATAACTTTTATTTGATATGATATTTAAGTCTGTGCATGGTCATCTTGTCAAGAATATATGAATAATAAATTAATTATCTTTTGGTCTGCTGTACCAAAACTAAAGATTAAATTGAACTCTTTTGTTTGAAGTGAAGGAAATGTGTTTTTGAAAAAGTTATTAGAAGATCTAGATATAGAATTTTTGTCTTAACTGGGCCTTCCTAGATTCTAAAGGTATTAAATGCTGGAAAGCCTTACTTTCCCATTTTTGTTTGAATAAACAAAATGGCTTAAGAATTAAAAATTACCATATGTTGTCACTTATAATAGTGGATTTACGTATTGAAAACAAATTTCTAATATAAGGAGTGTACATATTAGATAAGGAGAAATATCTGTAGGTAGGGCCAAGATTTTCTTTAGAAGAATGCCTTGGTTCCTCTTCAGTATATGGGCAGATAAGGGATTGAAGAACTTGAGTTCTGCACCATGGAGAACAGCCATAATAATTTAATTCTGGAAAAAGTTCAAAGCAGGTAATACCTATCGTTCACTTTCATGGTCATTATGATATTCTCAAGGCACCCTGTGAACATGTAATTTTAAACAATCTATTTTTCAGTGAAACTTCTAGGATAAAATAATAGTAAAGTATAACTTCCTCCAGAGTTTTCCCTTCCCAGTCGACATAATAGTATTGTGTATAGAATTATTGGATATAAACCAGTTAGATTTTACAGGATAATTTTCCAAGAATGACCATTTCAATTGTATAGCACTTCTTATAACATTAAGTAGATACCAGGAATAATTGTTTTTTGTTGGTAATATCTTCTCATCTGCAGGGAGAAAAATAGAGATCAGCAGGGTTCTGTGTATCCAGCTGATGGAGAATTGGTTTGAAGGCATTAAGCTATAAGCTAAAAAGAGGAGAGAAGAGTAGTATTAAAATATATGCTTGGTATATCTGATTGATAACTTAAGATATTAATGTAAAATTTGGCTTCTCATAGGTTCTGCAAATCAACAAGACTTTTCTTCAGGGAAAAGTGAAGATTTGGGAGTAGTACAGGAGAAGTCTACCAAAAGCCTTGTTATAGGTCCTCTTGATTTTCGCTTGGATAGCAGTGCAGTACATAGAATTTTGAAAATGATTGTTTGTGCCTTGGAACACGAGTATGAACCATATAGCAGGCTAAAACCAGGTTTGTTTGGCTTAATTTTGAATCTTTTACCAGTTGATTTGAATGATTATATAATCGAATTTGTTGTATTTTGCTGTCTTCACCTTTGTAGTATATTTTGCCTATCTGACTCTCATGTATTTAGTTGTTAACATAAAGAATAAACTTGTGTGTGGAAGTTATGGGAGATGTCAAGATTTAGAAGTTATTTGCATAAGTACTTTATTTGCCAGTATTGTCGGTATTTTATTGTCACACCTTTTTGAATCTCTTTCTAGTATATCCTCTTGAAATATGACCCTTTTTCCACCTTAGTGGATTCTAAGGAGCAGACAGGAAGATGGGCTCTAAACATACAAATTTAACATTCAAGGGAACTGAGGTCTCAATGGTAAAAATGAATTTGCTGTGCAACTAATTTTTTCTACATGGTATGAGGATGTGGTTATCACAGTTTCATAAAATACAAATTCCTTTCTTATGCAGTAAAGTACTCTAGAGTAGGACATAATAGCATAATGAGGGAGTGTAGGATAGTAAAGAACTCAGTTTGTGGGGTCAGACTATGGTTTGAATTCTGACTCCCCACTTCTTATTGACCTTAGGTAATTTAGTTAACATCACTGATTTTTCATTTCTCTATCTCTATAATGAGTTTAATTATTTTGACAGGAATGGTTGTCTCCCTAATATCCATCCTCCTCTTATGTAATAGAAATTTCTATGATAGAAATTTTTATGATGGAAATAAAGAATACACATCCCAAGTAGAGTCATATGACTAGGTTCTTCTGGCTACTGTGATGGGAGCAGAACTTCATGTGAATTTTTGAGCCATGACTTTAAAAGGAAAGGAACATAGCTTCCTCCCTCTCCCCTCTTTCCTTCTGGCTGGAAAGCAGTTATAATGACGGGAGCTGGAGCTGCCATGAGGTGAAAGCTGCATGCTGAGGGTGACACAGCAGCAAGATAGAAAGAACCTAGGTCTTGGGTAGTGTGGTACCACCATGTCAGCTCTGGATCCTTTAGACTCAGATTGTTGTGTGAAAGAGAAATAAGCTTCTGTTTTTGTTGAATCTTCTATTATTTTACTTTTGTCACAGCAAATTTACCGTTATTCTAAATGATAGACTAATAGGACTTATTTCTAAAGATTAGTGCATGTAAAAACATGTAACAGCGTGCTAGTGCATAGTAAGTGCTTGACATGTTCTTGCATTCATCTGTTGCACCTTGCTTGAATGTCTGCTCCATGCCAGACATACTTGTAAGTGCTAGGATAGTATGTACAGAATGACTAAAGTAAAAAACAGCGACAACACCAAATGTTGGGAAGAATGTGAAGAAACTGGATCACTCATTCATTGCTGGTGGGAATGTAAAATGGTACAGCCACTCCTGAAAACAGTTTGGCAGTTTCTTTAAAAACTAGACATGCAACTGCCGTATAGCCCAGCAACTGTACTCCTGGGCGTTTATCTCAGAGAAATGAAAATTTATGTTTACACAAAAAACAGTACATAATTTATTTGTTTTTCTCATGTAAAAGTCCAAGCTGGTAGGTACTCCATGGGGTCTAGGACAATGAGGTTGTCTTAAACCCAGAATTCCTTTCCTCTTGTTATTCTACCATCCTCTGAGATATATCTCATCTGCATGGTCAATATTGGCTCACCATTCCAATGTCTAATTTTAATCAATAGGAATGAGGAAACAAGAGAAAATGGTAGGTATTTAGTTTCATTTAATGACGTGGCTCATCATCTCATTGACCAAAACTTTGTAACGTGTCCCTACACCTAGCAGCAAGAAAGGCTGGAAAATGTAGTCTCTAGAAGGAGTCCATATACCTGACTTAAATTCAGAGGGTTTTATTGCTAAAAGAAAGAAGAGGAGATTGCAATTGCAATTAGCAGTCTCTTCCCCAGTGTGGAATTATGCCACACACACACACACACACACA